ACGTCTGAACCATTTATGCATATTTACTGTACTGACTAGAATTTACTAGATCATTGGCCACTGTGATGACAACAACCCCTCCCCCCAAGCTACACACACACACACACACACACACACACACACACACACACACACACACACACACAGTGGCAGCCATGCAGTATTCAGCCATGTCCTTCCCTCATGCTGAAACTTAAGCAACTGTCACTTACTCTAGGGGTGATAGGAGGATGGGCTGAGGGGTTGCATTTTTGACCCAATGAATAATGGATGCATTGTAATTTATTTACATAAGCATCGTCATAGTAATAGTGTAATGAACAATAAAAACATAACCAGGCAGTTGTCAAACAATTATTTTACTAAACAATACCATGAAAATAATACATTAGTGAGCAAAAGTTGCACCTGTATTTCATTTTTTTTTTCAGTTACAATGCAGATTAATATCTATTTTTTGTACTACTGGGCGGTTAGGTGAGGTGACGTCGGGGAAAGGGGGGTAGAGTGGCTGTCAGCATACAACAAACTCTTATAAATAACGTATCAACCATACAACAGCAAACATCGCCATGCCTCAGGTACTGCCAAAAGTTAATAAGCAGTGTTTTATGTCCACATAATACAACGTGTTATTGGTATTTCCCAATTTCAACAAACACCAGAAATTAAAAAGTACAGGTACAGGGTATCTGCATTTACATAATGAGGATTGCTTACTAAACACGGTGCACCTGTGTCCTATACTGTGCCAGGCATTGACACCCACTAGACCCCCTTCTCCCTACATCACCTCACCTCACCATCCAGTAGACAACATATATAGATATTAATATGTATTGGAACTTTAAAAGAAAAAAGGGGGGGGAGGGAGAAAAAAAATGTAATACGGGTGGAATTTTTACTCACTGAAGTATTATTTTCATGGTATTGTTTATTAAAAAAATTGTTTGACAACTGCCTCAGTATGCTTATGTAAATAAATTACAATGCATCCATTATTCATTGGGTCATAAATGTAACCCCATCGTAAACGGATACCATGTGTAGAGGCCTCAGCCCATCCTCTATCACTCCTGGAGTAAGTGACAGTTGTTATGTTACAGCAGGAGGAGGGAAGGACATGGATGAATACTGCATGGTCAATTTACAGTCACCCAAAGATCCAGCGACCCCACCCTGGGTCTCATACTGGCAATTTTACCTGAAAATGCTTGGTAAAGGAAGGCTGTATGTAAAGGTGATTCTGATTGGTAGATCTATTTTCAGCTGTATCATTGTCAGGATAAATACTACAAAATCCAAAGGTAGAATTTTTGTATTAGTAAACTATTCATTGTTTTTTCTGATCATGAGACGTTTCCAAATGATTGTGTATTTGCTTAAATAATGAAGAAATTTGATCTGAGAATCTTGTGGCAGCCCTTTTTTGTAGTCGAGTTGTCAATTCATTAATATAATTTTTCATTAATTAAGCAAATATACAAACATTTCGAAACTTCTCATGATCTTAAATAACAGTTTTGTAGTTTATTATTATAAAAATTCTATCTCTGAATTGTTTAATATTTATCAAATAAAACAGGCAAAAACACATTTTTTTCAGTAAACACATCAAACATGTAAATTTATTTTGTAAACCATTAAAAAGCATTTTATAAACTTTATTGCAAGGAAGTGGCACAACTTTTTCCAACATATAGTATTCCACATACACGTAAGTACAGTCAACCCTCACTTTATGCGGTTAATTCAACCCACAGGGTACCGCGGAAAGTGAGAAACGCGTAAAGTGAACAACATAACATATGGGATTAATTGAAATAGAGTCCGGGCCGACCCCAAACTCCACTTTTTGACGACACACAACTATGTTGTAGTAAAAATTTTATCTTAACTTTATGATGGTATGCACACACAATTAATAATTAAGAGAAATATCAATAATATTAGGTTTTTTAACACTTACATTAGTAGAAAAGATGGCTGGGCACACGGGGATGGGGGTTGGTTCCGAGGCAGAGGGCAGATTATTGGCCCTCACCTGTATCACTTGTATCAATTAGTCACTATCACCACAGAGGCTTGCAGGCCTCTTTGTCAAACCCCTTAAAGTCCATATAAGTCCATATCCTCAATATAATTATCACTATCACTGACTTGGGCCGGCTGTGGTGGGTGGCGGGTGAAGAACTCGGTAATGTTTTGATGACTGGGCGACCTTGTGCGCACCCTGCTTGCTCCGCTTACACAACATGGCGGGAGGTTTGGATCCAAAAATGGCGCGGCTCGTCAGCTGCTCTCCGCGTAAAAGGGTACACGCACCGCGGAATGTGAGCATCCTGGTTTTGGTAGGGTACCGCGTAAACTTGGAAACGCGGAATGTGGGACTGCGTAAAGTGAGGGTTGACTGTATAAATACAAAATTTATTGCTGGGCACACGGGGATGGGGGGTTGGTTCCGAGGCAGAGGGGAGATTATTGGCCCTCACTTGTATCACTTGTATCACTATCCACCACAGAGGCTTGCAGGGCCTCTTTCCCAAACCCCTCTGTGGCTGTGGTGGGTAGCGGGTGAAGAACTCTGTAATGTTTCGTTGACTGGGCGACCTAGCGCGCACCCTGCCCTTCGCCGCCGCTTCCTGCGTAAATGATAGGAATCTACCGCGTAACTAATAATTGCCGGTCTGGCCAGGTGCCGCGTAAATGACCAAAGGAAATCCGCGTAAATCGAGACTATACTGTAATCAAATAAAAACTTACTTTACAGTATTTATTTTGATGATAGACAATAAAAAATCTTGTATGACAATCAACTCAAACATCAATTACTCTGCATATTTGTGATGTGGATGAGCTTTTCACCAAAAGAAGGCAGCACAATCCAAGGCTGGTGGTGATGCATTCAAACTCTTGGAACATAGTCAATATAATCATGAATAACCAAAACAATTTACGGCATAGCCTACAGTTGATTTTTGCAGTGACAGGGTTAAAAGAATTTTTTGGCATACTTTTTTGAGGGGGGGGAGGGGGGCAGCAGTTCCATTAACTTATATTTCCTATTGAAAAACTGTACATAAAGCAATATAACGTGATTTGATATATAAAATCTGGCCCGCTAACTTTGTCTGCTAGCACATCATGTTGTTGAGGTGCTGGATACTTAATTATCGTATGTAAATAAAAAATTTTGGTTTTAGACTTTATTTCATAATTTTTCATTTGTATGCAAATTTTACTAGATTTAAAGGCTCTATGGCATGTATATGTGGTGGGGGTAACCCAGTTGAAGCACTCTAATTCTCTATCAGTGCTTCAGGAGCATGAGCTCTAAAAACAAAAAAGGCCTTGAGTTGTTTCTTGAAGGTCTTCACAGAAATTAACTGCTTTATGGATGCAGGCAACCAATTGTACAACCTGGGTGTTGAATAGGAAAAGGAATGGGCAGAAAAAGGACATTCCTGCACGTCAATTCCCCTTTCAATGTCCTTGTTAGGCTCCTGAAAATGACGAGGTTAAGTGAAAACAATTTTACCATAAACACAATGATATAAATAGGGGTTATGTTCCTTGGGTACATTTCTGGTCAAAATTTTCTCGGAACTTGCCACAAATGTTTCACTTTCAGCTCTATCACCTTTTTCTTGTTTTAAAGTTTCATATAAACTTAGATCTTTCACCTGTATGGAAAACAACGAACACGGAAAGTTTTGTTGATGTTGATTCTCAATCCACATATTCGGCATTCCTTCTATATTTTCCATAATGCCACTTCTGTTATGACTTAACTTTGTAACAGATAATTTAGTAACACTATTAACACATGATTTGATATTTTCTGCATTTCCACAAATTGTTCTTACCTACAGTTGTTGGCTGCAAACTGACAGTTCTTGGTCTGTCCACAGCTCACTGTTCTTCAAATCTCTTTACCATGATTAATTTAAATTCAAATGTAACATTTTTCTTCTTCTTTCTGTAACTACAACCAGTAGTGGTGCATACTGCACGTTTAGCACTCATTGTTCTGGGGCTCAAATATATTTATAATTGGATTTTAAGTGAATGTTGGAAGAGCTTTAACCAACCTCCGAACAATAACAAACAAATATAGCGCCCACCCTGACCGCTTACACAGCCAGTTGTTATCATAACTGGGCGCTTAGCACCTTTGTACTGAATTTTTAGAATTGTCGTACATTTGTCATTTTCATTTTTTTTCAACGTTATAACAAAACAGCATTGACTGAAACGACCTTAATGGGGGAATTGGTGTATTGCTCTAGGCTGCTCCGATTTGCAGAGGAGAAGCTTCCTAACCTCCCCTATCCCCTGCTGTCCTGTGGTTGACGAAACCTTTCCCCATCTCTGCATTTTGGATTTTCCCTGTCCTCCTTTGGTGTAACTAGTTTTGCCGAAGTAATTCTAGTTGTAATATACAGCCTATGTGGTTTCTGATTTTTACTACAGTAGTTTGAACTGGTTCTGACTTATTTAAGGTTTAACTGCAACATATATACAGTATATTGGGGGAGGGGGGACCCGAAAGTATGCAAATTCACACCTCTGCGGGGATCTCAGAAACATAATCCTACTGTACTATGCATTTATTTATTTTTTTAAATTTCTCATTGAGTTGGGTAAAATTGTATATGAGTGTAGCACCTTGTTTTCACATTATAAGGTCCTGCCCACCATACATATTCCATAGAGCCCTAGGATTGATTTAGTTTCCTAAAGTAAAGGCTGTATAGTGCTGCTTATGATTGTCTTGGCCATATGAAATATTAAAAATGGTATCCAGTAGTAAAGGGGTTATCCATTGTAATAATTCTAGTAATTACATTGATCTCTCGTTCTAACTGCTATATTCCTTTTTATTGACTTTGTACTACAATTCCCCACTATCTAACCACTGTAAGTGACATCATCGTGTAAATAAAGTGCCATGATCTTTAACTTAGGTTTTAAATAAATATAATCCATTATTTCCTCAGGGTTCTAAGCAAGGCGGATCAGTTCCTGTGTCAAACACAAACTCCGTCAACATGCTGTCAGTCAACTTGGGGCAGAGCAAGTCTAATATGATTAATTTTAAGATATCCAATGGGCAAATCCAAGCAGACAATATACAACAAGTTGATGGTGAGTATTGTAACAACACCTGTACTGTTTACTGCTTCTACTACAGTACTGAATGTAGCAATTTATCTGTCTAGTCATCCATTATATTCCTAGATACAGGCACTCCCCAAGTTATGATCATCTGGACTTACGATCATCGCCCAATTATATTCTTAAAAAAAAAAGAGAAAAAAATTACTAATGACCTTTTATAATATAGTGATATCCCTGTTAGCCAGAACAATTGGTGCAGAGCACTTCCGGGGATGAGAGATTTCCGGGTAACCAGGCGACTTTCTCAAATCCGGAAAAGTCCCCCATCCCCGGAAATATTTCCGGTTACTGGAAAAACTTTCCTAGTGTCTAAACTATGCATCTTGCACAGACAAACATTAGCCCACATCCTCATAATGTTTCTGTGTGCTGGAGAGTTTTCCAAGAGTCTAAACCAAAAATCTATATAATGTGGTCATGAATGATGCTGTGTGTTATAGCAAGGACTGATATTTTCCACTCCCTTGGAGCTGTGGGGGATTAGTGGGTCTCATGTAACTGACCTGACGCAATGTCAGGTGGAGGTAGGATGGGGTATTGGTGGGGTATTAGTAGATTTCAGGACCTGAAGATGTCTTGAATAAACATGAAAGCTAAAATACAGTATTTTTTATACTTACACTTATCACATTGTATCCCTTCAACATTACGATACATAAGATTTTAAAATGTGGAGTGACAAAGCTGAAAGCTGTGGGTGATTCGAGAGTTGGAGTGGAAAGGAGTGGTAACATGCACCAGTGTTGCCAAGCTCCTCAACAGCTGATCTTTTAATTCACCACCACGTGGTTAACCACGCATAAATTTGTCATACAATTTGGGAGTGTTTGGGTGTGATGTTGTGGTATTAATTAATAAATAAGCAATATTGCATCGTCAAAGACAGTCGTTTGAAGAAAAACGGCATACAATATAGTTTCGACTTACTCAGTCAATCAAACCCGTGGAGGTCCGCGAAAAATGAACGATAAATAACAGAACACAAAGTTCATATTCACTATCACTATCACTGACTTGTGGCGGGGAAGACCGTAATGTTTTACACTTTGTGCGCATCTGTTCGCCGCCACTTCCCGCCAGATATGACCAATTTGCCTCGTAATTAAAGCATTTCATTCTGGCAGACGGTGAACAAAAGCCGCCAGAAATGCAGACTCTACAGTCTCGATTTCGCGGATTTTGTTTACGAAGTTTGGTCATTTACGCAGCACCTGCTAGGCTGACAATTTTATTTTACGCGGTTTATTCCATCATTTACCCGGAAGCGGCGTGGTAGTAAAGCATGCGTCGCTTTCATTCAACAAAACATTACCGAAGTTCTTCACCCGCCACCCACCACAGCCAGCCCAAGTCTGTGATAGTGATAGTGAGGATATGGACTTTGAGGTTTGACAAAGAGGCCCTGCAAGTCTCTGTGGTGGACAGTGATACAGGTGATACAAGTGATACAGGTGAGGCCAAAAATAATCGCCCTCTGCCTCAGAACCAACCCCAATCCCCTGCGTACCCAGCCATCTCTTCTACTAAGTAAGTGTTAAAAAATCTAATATTATTGATATTTCTCTTAAATATTAATTGTGTGCATACCATCATAAAATTAAGATGTTATTTTTAGTACAATGTATGTATTGTGTCGAAAAAGTGTAGTCTGGGGTCGGCCCAGTCTTATTTCAATTATCAGATATACTGTCTCATAACCCCCTTCGTATATAGGTCGGATCCCGATTTTTGACCAATAAAGAAGAGTGATACAGGTGATAAGTGATAAGCAGGTGAGGGCCAATACGACCCGCCTCTGCCTCAGAACCAACCTCAATCCCCTGCGGTACCCAGCCATCTCTTCTACTATAAGTGTTAAAAAATCTAATATTATTGATATTTCTCTTAATACACTAGTGTGCATACCATCATAAAATTAAGATGTTATTTTTAGTACAATGTGCTAAAGCTTGTGTTTAGTGTAGGTCGCTCAGTTCTATTTCACTATCGATATACTGTCATAACCCCTTCGAGTATAGGTCACCCGTATTTTTGACCAAGAAATTGTTAATTATATATCTTCACAGCAGGCTTCCACCCAAGTTTTTGAGGGTAAGCAACAACAAAACTCAGAGAAACACTACGGCCCTATAAACTCGTGTTTCTATTCATTTGTTATTGGCTTTTACACTTTTAGACTGAAACGCTGCAGAAGTTTCTAAATAAAATATTGTATATTTCTTCAAGTATCATTCAAGTCAATTAGGAGGGAATATTATTGTAATACAATAGTTTTTAACTGAAAAACCATTCGAAAAGTTTAATACGGTAATAGTTTGAAATCTAGTAAGAGTTAAAGTCATTGTTTTCGTATGCAATTTTATTCACTTTCACTGTAATACGTGACGCTATTTCTAAAAAATATTACATTTCCATGGAATGTGGCTGTATCAAGCATAGTATGTAATAGAATATCATTAATATAATAGTATTTTTAACCTAAAATCATTAAAACGAAAATATCTTTGGAAATATCGAAGGTTTGGTAAAGTCTTTTTGTTTTCACGTAGTTTATCCTAATTTACATTGAAATACATTCCAGCAAAACTACTATTTATTTCTTGAGAATATGGAAATGGCAGAGTTTTTGCTGAAATGACGACGACATAATGGAAAGTGGATAAAATCGTGACAAAAACAATGACTTTCGCTTTTCTAGAAAAGATGCTACTTAATTGCCGAATGTGTTTTCTAAAGGAAAACCAAGGCTGATAACAATATTTTATCTAATTCACTTGTGATGTAAATAAGTTTTAACTTAAAAACTATCTTAAAAAACAGGTGCAATTGCTCAGGCTGATACTGCAGAGCCTCTGGGTCGCTGGAGGTTTTGTGTTTGCCTGCCCTTCAGTATGGTGCTTTTATAGCATACTTTGAAAATTAAAGCTACTGCATATTCTATTTTCTGTTTCTGCCTTCAGAACAGACAAGCCTAGTACACACAATGTTACGAAAATTTTTTTTTAATTAAAGTACCATTTAAAAATATAAAGACACCAAACAAATACCAGCATTTGAATGGTTTATGGACTCTCCCGCCAAAAAAGACTAAATAGCTGCATTTCTCCTCAGCCCTACCAAAAATAGCCCAACTATTATCTTTCTTAATTATTCTCTTCCAATTTCTTACTTTTAGTCTGGGATATTGCCTACATCACAAATTACAGTAATTGAGGTTAGACACTGTTATATAAATTTGATTATCGGGTCTCCAAGAAAACAGCGAACCACCTGACCTACTAACAGTGTTGCAAGTCAGACATATTTTCAATCTTCATCCATGTGCACGAGAAAGGATGGAGGGATGAAGGCGTATACAAATACATTTAAAAAAGTCTGGAACTTTAGACCAGGGGATCAAGAAGAAAAGTCTTTCAGGGATATGTTTTCACATCTTGTTGACAGTGTTAATAAGGATTAGGAAGGAAAACACTGATAAGTAGCTGCGGATTCCTGGTGGATTAACAAGTCTTGTCCAACCACTGGATGTTTCAAATGTTCACGAAATATGTGCGATGAAGTGAAACAACTGGATGAGATAGAAGGTTATAAGATATACACAAAGGGAGGCAACATCCAAGCCCCATCACTAGGCAACATTATGAATGGATTGTAGAGGCCTGGGATGCAATCAGACCAGAATTGTGGTAAATCTTAAGAAATGTGGATTTCAATGCTCTTGATGGAAACAGAAGACGACTGTTTGTGGGGATTATGAGGCTAATGAGATGCGGAATGAGGATGCATGATAATATTAGATCCTATGGATGATTGATGAAAAGGATCCATATGACGATGCTGTTCAAGGAGAGGACTTTATATCAAATAAAATAGATGACAAGAAAATTGATCTTATGATTTTAATGAAAATATCTAAATATGGTATCAGTATTATCTCAGTTTGCATTGTATAGAATATTATTAAAACACAAACAGCTTTTAACTGAAAACCATTCAAAAGTTTATTAAAAAATCTTTTAATTAAAGAAAGTGAAGTTTATCCATCACCAATACGTGATGCTATTTCAACAAAGGTCATAGCTGTACTCCACTCTAACGTGGTCAATAAAAACCTAGAGGTAACGTTAAACCCATATGAACAACAGAACATATGATTAATTCCAATAGAAACCGCCCCATCTCAAAACTCCACTTTTTGGACGACACATAACTATAAGCAGTAAAAATTTTATCTTTTAACTCTTTTATATAAAAGAAACATAGGAAGAAGAGAAAAATAAAGGTTATTGACAGAAAATGAGTTAAAACCAGGTCACCACGCAGAAGAGATGGTCAAGGATGGGGATGATGTCATCTATGTTAGGAGGAAGAAGGCCAATTGTGTGGAGTCACTATCACTGTCACCCAAGAGTTACAGGCCTCCTGACAAATCCTCAAAGTCATCTACCAAGCTCACCTCTGTCACGTCAGCTTATTTAACGTAAATAAAGCAAAGAACTCGTTATGCTTTTTTTGACGGTTGGTGTTTATGTTGTCGCGGATACAATCGCGGATGTACGCCCAGCCTGCACCAGCCGGGTATGGAAGACTTCATAGCGGTCGCCTGGCTGCGAAGCACTGTTTTCTCCTGACACCTCATATAGCACTTAATATCACTATGAGTTAAATCCGTGTTCTCTAGAACACTATGACCTTCTTCCTCCTCTTCACTGACGCATTCCATCAGACCCTGATCATCTCCATGATATCTTCAAGCAGGTCTCGAGAAGCCTTTCAGATGATGCATTCACTTGCCACTGCAACAGTCTGAACCTCACTAGTCACAGGTTCACTCCTCTTTCTCAGCTGGTATGCCATGCAACACATGTCTCCATGCGATTTAACTCGAAAGTGTTTAGTCAGCAGATCCCATGCCCACCAAGAAGTCTACAGCTTGTTTGACGTTAAACTTCTTCCAAAATTGTTTG